ATAGCCTCGGAGGCAGGGTGGCATTGAGTCTTTATGAACAAGACCCAATGAAATATGATAAACTGATATTGCTTGCTCCTGATGGGCTGATTGTAAACAAATGGTATTGGCTTGCGACACAGACTTCACCCGGGCGAAGGCTTTTTGCTTTTACGATGAATCATCCGGGTTGGTTTTTTAGTATACTGAAAGCATGTAACAGGATTGGTGTTGTCAACATCAGCATATTCAAATTCGTAAACTACTATATCGGGGATGCGGAAGTTCGACGGTTGTTGTATGCCCGCTGGACGGTTCTGCGAAAACTAAGGCCACGGCTGCATGATATCCGCCTGATGATCCGAAAGCATCACACGATGGTACGATTGATCTATGGTAAACATGACAGGATCATATTACCCGTACGGGGTGAGAAGTTCATCAAAGGAATTGAGGAAAATTGCAAGCTGGTCATTATACCGGCGGGTCACCAGGTGTTGCATGAAAAACATGTGACCGATATTTTGACAGCTTTGTTGCACTGATGCGCATTAGTTAGCTTTGTTATCTTCATGATTTTATTTTGGATCATCATATTGCTGTTCGTCCTTTACAGTGTATTGATCATTTATTTTTGGAGAGCCTGGTTATCGGTACCGTCTTTTGTACCGAGTGGCAAAAACGCCGATCTTTTTCTATCCGTGATCATACCTGCCCGAAATGAAGCCGCAAACATTGGTGCGTTGCTAACCGCGCTTCAACACCAGGACTATCCTTCTCATCTTGTTGAAGTAATTGTAGTAGATGATCATTCTGATGATGACACAGCCAGGATTGTAACAGGTTTCCCAAATGTAAAACTGGTACGTCTTGGTAATGATATTACCAACTCATACAAGAAAAAAGCGATCGAGGTGGGTATTGCCGCTGCATCGGGAGAAATGATAGTTTGTACTGATGCGGACTGTGTGCCACCGCCGGCATGGTTACGCACGATGGCATTGTTTAAAAAAGAAAAGGACAGCGTTTTTATTGCTGCCCCGGTTTCGATTGACGGAAAGAAAACGCTCGTGCAGGTTTTCCAGTCGATTGACTTTATGGTATTACAGGGAATTACAGCTGCTGTTGTTGACAGGCAGGCATTGACGTTGTGTAATGGAGCGAACCTGGCATA